TTAGCATCGGATTAAGTTATTAATTACAGCAATTATTCTTGACCTTCATGAATTAAAATAACCTAGTCAGGGTAACCAAATAAAAGGAGGGTAAAAAGATGAAAATGAAAAATATGTAAGATGAAGGGAAGAAAAAGGTCATCAAAATGATATGGTGGGATGGGAGACTATGTTATAAATTTGACTAATGTATGAATCCCACAACTTTTTTGCCATACAAACTCACTTAAATATAAAAGTTCTGTGTAAACCACCTAAAATTTAAACTCATTTGTCTTAACATTAAATTCTGTAACATAAAATCATGTTTTGAATTGGCCAACATGTACTGACTACTTGACAGGCTGCTGCTCAAATGAAAAACAATGGTTGTATGACATTGCTTTTTGTGGAAAAACATCTCACAGCTCAAGAGTTTCAGTGAACTATAATGTTGTTTTATCTCTATGCTTAGCCTTGAATTATTCTTAGTTAATTTTTTTTTTCTTATTTTAATTTCTTTCTTTTGAAAATGTACTTTCTATCACATATAACTGCACTGTCTAATTATGCCTAGGCCTAGTCTTACTAATAAATAGCCTCACCGCCTCACCGCACCCCCCCCCCCCCCCTACANCCCCCCCCCCCACTACATAGTACATCAGTAGGCAGCAACAGAACGTGATGTGCCATCCTTCCCAGATTTTCATGCAACATTTGCATATTGTTGGCTAACCAACTTATGCTTACCGTTTCCACAACGCTACAGTACAGATGTATGCTAGTCAACAGAACGTGATATTGCACCTTCCTTCCCAGGCGTTCATGTAGCATTTGCATATTGTTAGCTAACCAGCTGCGTGTATTCCTTTGTGAAAATGAGTACAGTACTGCGGCATACTCATTTTCGCAAAGTATTTGCATCCCCTCTTGGAAAGAGGGAATTCCAAATAACTGTCTCAATATCTTCGCTAATTAATCACCGTAATTTAGCTTTGGAGTAACTGGAGCACTTAAAATGTACGATAATTATTTCACTACCCGACAAACCCCGACCTTTATTCATGCATTACATAATAGTTTCATCTTGCTGCACTCCAATATCACTGGCGTATGGTAACAACCAACTGACTGCAGACCATTTCCTGTCACACATTACTCTCCATAACGCAGCACTCCCTAGTTCTGTCCCCTCTGGGTGTCCCATACTGTACTCAATTTTTTTCCTGAATTTTTTATTCAGTCTCTAAATTAACTTACTTATTGGTGGCGCTGTCCAGAATCAGAAAAAAAAATTAAGGGATTTGTCTATCTCGAGGATGTATAGAAAGAGAAGACAAGTAAAAACAATAATACTGGGTTGATACAAGTAAATTAGTAAGATAAAAACCCATTATTGTTTAAATGAATTTTCATTGTGTTTATAATTGAATGTTGTCAAAAATAAATGCAGTCAGTCTCGATCATAAGCATTGTGAGGTATAACTCCCCATTCTCAGTGACCTGTACAACTTTTTACAAGGGCAAACAATTTTGCAGGAAAAAATTTTTGTAACACAAATTTAAAATTTAACAACTCATCCTTAAATTAGTAAAATGTTGGCCTGTAGATATTGATATTTTTGGTTTGCAAGTTACAAATTTATCCTTGTATTTATTAACTTGTGGTAAAATTAATTATTCAGAGGTCAGAAGATGACACTTTGGTGTCCATCTAGGTCAAGTTTGTATTTTCTTTCTTTATCAAAGTCCAGATCAACCATTATACACAATAGCCTACTGTATAATATAATTATGAATGTATATTATATAATATAATATGTAAGATAATATAATTTAATATATCATATATTTATTAAATATTTAACAAAATGCTACAAAATATATGAAGGCATGTTTTTAAACTAAACATAAAATATGTCTTGGCACTCAAAACACAAGAATTTGAACCAGAAGTACGTACTTGTTACCCGACCAATATGCAGCTTGATAGCGCCTCTGTGAATTCGCCAAACCTCTACAGGATCATCTCGACAATCCTAACACTCCTGCAATTTGTTACTCCACTTATAGAGGCAATTGGATGTCAAAGTTGATTTCTTTTCATTTCTATATTATCAACATACCCCATACGCCCCCTGAGAGAAACATTTTCATTTACCTAGACTGCATAGTGCATGCTATGTATTATTATATAGTTATACACAGTAGGCCTATTATATTTTCTGAAACTGTATAACGATTTAATAAACAACAATAAAAACATATTTAACTTCAGATTCAAGACAGTATTTGCAATATAAGCCAGCATTTGTACTTAAAACCACACAATGTATAAAACTATAAAAAGCAGTCATTTTTCCAAAAATATATGAAATACAAGGCTTCACATATCAAAACATTGAGAGTTAAATAATGATAAACATTGAATTAGACAACTTTGTAAGTCTGAAGCAGACTTTCTGCCTAAATTATCCCACAAACTCTCTTTACAAGAAGCCGCCACACCAAAGCTTCATCCCAACACGTGCTAAAAACCTAGGTCGGAAAGCACAGGTAGATGGTGAGATACCCACGTAGCTCCCAACAACATTTTGAACAAGCGCAAGACTTGACATCTGTCTGCCAAACGTTCCTATGACAATATAAGCCAAAGGAAATCAACTATATCACTTGGATAATAGAGAAAGGTCAAATATACATCGTGGATTTACAACGGCAGGAAAAAACTGATGTTGGCATACTTATACCTGTCCTGTCTAAAGCTATGGCCACACTATAGAAGTTTTATATCACAAATTTGTGTGAATTACCCATATATGGGCATTATGATATCATATAACATCCATAAATGGGCATGATCAATGTCATATACCCATATATGGACAAATCACAGGTATTTTTCATGTAAAATGATAGTGGCTAAATGTAATCCTACAGTGGTTTTGATAATCACATTAACAATAATATTAACATTAATAATCAGTGGTGGATTCAAGGGGTGGGAGAGCCAGTAGAGTTTTCCAAAACTATAAAAATTGATGAAAAAAAGAGGGACAATATTAATTTAGGTCTGAGTGTGCTATTTCTGGCCATCTAGATGTGCCATAGTCATAATTTGTTTTCCCTCAGCCCCACCAAGGTCTAAACTCTCCATCTGTGAAAGTTCCTCCCTGGGCCCCCTCTATTTTGAATTCCTGAATCTGCCACTGAAAATAATAATATAGACATATAGATACATAGTGCCTTTTTGGCAAAAGATGCAAGGTGCGCACAAAGCTCACTTGATTCAGGAAATCAAACACAATGTGCAACCTTCTGCACTCCCTGAGGGAGTATTCTAGTCGTGATGCAATTAAATTCGGACAGATACCTTTGGTAGAGAGAAGCAGTGCAACTAAAATGCTTGCCAAGGGACACTTACTATCCTACAACCTACCCACTTAACCCCTGGGGAAAGAGATGCAATGCAGATAAAGTACCTTGCCCAGGGACACTCAATATCCTACCATGCATTCACTTAACCCCTGGGTGGAGAGAAGTAATGCAGGTAAAGTATCTTGCCCAGGGACACTCACTATCCTACCATGCATTCACTTAACCCCTGGGTGGAGAGAAGCAATGCAGGTGAAGTGCCTTGCCTAAGAACACTCACTAACCAACCTACCAGGTACCCATTTAACCCCTGGGTGGAGAGAAGCAATGCAGGTAAAGTACCTTGCCCAGGGACACCCACTATCCTACCATGCATTCACTTAATCCCTGGGTGGAGAAGCAATGCAGGTGAAGTGCCTTGCCTAAGAACACTCACTAACCTACCAGGTACCCATTTACCCCTGGGTGGAGAGAAGCAATGCAGGTAAAGTACCTTGCCCAGGGACACTCACTATACTGCCATGCATTCACTTAACCCCTGGGTGGAGAGAAGCAATGCAGGTGAAGTGCCTTGCCTAAGAACACTCACTAACCTACCAGATATCCATTTAACCCCTGGGTGGAGAGAAGTAATTCAATGCCTTATTATTATTATTATTGGTACTATTTTATCTATTCTAAACTATTTTTATTATTTGGCAAAGTAAAATCATACTGGACCAGCAGTAAATTATACTAAACTCGGCTTTGATTTTTAATGAAAGTTTCTAGATTAAAAAGTTAAAGAAATCTCTGCCACCAGAGGGCAGCAGATTGTTAACAGATTTAAACAATGATGTTGGTTCTACCTTGTATTGGCCTACTAACTAATCATGTTGATATTTTACGAAAGGAAACTACTTATTAGCAACTAAGAGAGTATGTACATAAACTGGTTTGTACCTGCCAAGTTTGGCCTATTATGCATTTCTCAGGCCATAGAATGTGGCCTTGTGCATGAAACTTGTCTATCTCATAAGGGAGGTTAAATTCAACAATGGACAGAATTAGGCAGAATACTTACATTTATGTCATCAAAAACTTGTAAAAATTTAATTATAAGATCAAATTTGTTTCATCATATATCTAAATGTACTCTTTGTATGTAAGTTTGTAAAAACTTGTATTATTTAGTGCAATATGCTATAGCTTCTAAACACTAAACTAAAAAGTTTATGTCTCTCATGCATTGGGTAATTTTTACAATATCTCAACAATTATGGATACAATTACAGGAATTCCAAATTTATCTCATACAAAATTACACATCTTTTTTTCAAGATGTTTTTCTCATGCATGAAGTAATTATTTGTCAATAGTCATAGATATAATTAAGAAATTTCAAAAATAATTATATCAACAGATATTAAAATGTTTATTTGATTTAAAATTTAAGCACATACATATGTTACACTTTGAGTTTGGAAGCATGAGCTCATAGATGGGGGTGGACTTGTGCTGACTTCATAAAGGGACTCATACATAATAAGTTGGCAGGTATTAATCTCATTGGCCATATGTAGGCTAGGGGTTTCCTGGCTTCAGGATAACATATGAACTAGTTCTAGTAGTAAACTTTGCTATCCAAGAAACAATACAATACATACCGCTAGTGTGGCAATCGGGTCTGTCTGATCGTTAAATGTATTTACAACCTTTCCGTCAGAAATCTGAGTTATCTTGATCAACCTGGGGCAGAATGAGAACATAATATTAGATTAGTAAACATAAAGTTTGCCAGCCCCCTTTATACAGTGAACAGGCTAAGCATTAAATCTCAGCCAATTATATGGACAGATAGCTCAGGATGTTTGATTTTTAGCAAACATAACAAGTTGGCAAGCTCAATTGAATTATCATGACCTCTCTTGGGAGGACAAATCTGATTTAAATGTTATCTGATACAATATTTTGTACAGTTGTTACAAATTTTAGAAAAGGTTGTACAAAATGTTTTTCATAATGTGCATAGATTTTATACAGACTTTAAGAATCGCAAGCGGCTGTGCGCTACACATAGAAAACTATTTAATGAAAAGCATTAAACACTGGTGGCACCAAATTATTTGCTATCACTTGTGGTAATCCCAGACGTTCTACTATTATTTTCTCCTGTGAATTCAAACTTATACCATACTCTTGAGAATATTTACACATTAGATATGCCATTACACATATGTGGCAAAGACAAGCCAAACCCGTCACTCGTCGCAAATCCTGTTTCAGAGATAATGGCCAAAACATGCTGGAATATAAAAATTTTTTGAAATCTATTTTATTACACTAAAGTAACCTTTATATCTATATGTCATGCCATGCTGTTTTTCTCCTCATTGTCAATGTTAAAACAACAATTTTTAACGATTTGGTAATGGTTTCTGCCTGAGAAATTGCCCAGAATCATAAACTTTAAAGGCTAATTTCTCAAATAGTGTTCTTTAAACAGCTGTATGTTTAAACTCATGTAACTTCATAACGAAATGTTGTATTTAAATTATTCTTTTACCATTTTACTCTCATTTTACTGTTTAACACTGTATTAATAACTAAAAATTGATTTTTGCGTTGAGTGACTGGTTTGGCTTGCCTTTGCCACATATTATTTGACAAAAATATTATGCCTGAAATTCTTGGCTACTCCAACAATAGTGAAAAATTTAAAAATTGGATGGAAATTGGATGTGAAAATCTACAAGGTATAGGTCATGGAATGATGACCATTTGTAGCAACATCACTGGCCTCTTGCCAGCCAGAGTAAGTTGTCATACTTAGAAGATATTAACCAATTTTACCATCATGCTTTTTCCCTCATCAATTTATCCTAAATGAATATTTTCTTTGACTGAGTGTAGACATGCAGGCCCACCTCAACTCACCTCACTATGGCATTTGAGTTAGGTATGAAGCCATGGAGGCTGGCCAAATGATAAAAATTTACAATGTACTGCCTAACTAAGATGTAGAGACAAAACTCTGTTTTGGTAGCTAAGCTACAGTAGACCAGAATTGAGGAAATACACATGACACCTACTGTAACTCACAGACTCAATGCAACAACAAATCGTGTCAAACTACATTGTATGATGCATAAGACATTTTTAAATGACTATATTTTTTAGGCCATTTTTAATCTGATCACATGCATTACAAATTGTTCAAAACATCAACTCATATACTTTTGTGTGCAAATGTTAACATCTGGATAAACCAACTAGAAAAGCAACTAACCAACCATAGCCTAGGGGCGACAAGGGAAGTCCCCGGAAACTGCCAGCAATTTTAAGAGCAAATTCAATTGATGTCTGATTAATCTAAATAAAATAGGCAGAAGGAGGAATCATTTTTGGGCTCTGCCCAGGTTCAGCCCGAAGCTGTTAGTGAAGATAAGCTAAGCTGTGTACTGTGTGCCTATAGAGACATACTGTAGCTTTACTCCCTCTCCTCAACATTACTGATATTAACGGAAGGTCCCCCACTCACTCCCTTAACATTTGAAGTGTAACCGAAATTCAGCACAATGACACTGTGAGTTACGGGTTACAAGTTTATTAATTTTAAATGATCAAACCCATTCGCACAGACTTACAGTAATTTAATATAATAACTCCGGCTTAACCCCCCTTCCCTCCATCAGGAAATCATGCCCCCATTGTTGCTTGGCTGACACTAGCAATATGAGACACAATCAGACAGCCTTTGGTCCAAATAAATGTACGTATGAGAATACAAATAATATGCTGCTGTTGCTTACAATGTATACCCATATATTTAATGAGTATACATTGCTCACTTAGGAAAAATATGGTAAGCTTCTACTTTCGAAGTTACTTCAAAACATTTTCTTTAGTTATCAACCTTGCTCTAACTGTCAACTGGGTTTTTTGCATGTTTTCTTAAAATTATAAACAAACATGAGAATGCTGCCTACTAAAAATGTTAAGATAATACAATAAATGTTTGTCAGTCACTATTTTTTGGGGAAAAAACATTGTCCTGTTTTTATGTGTGGAAGTGTCTCCATTATATACTACAAGTACTTGGTTCATTACATTCAATCTTGTTAATGACTTTACATGTGTTTCAAATTCTAACCTACTTGTTTCATTCACCTCTTTCAGTGAGTACACAGTGCCTACACATTAAATAAACTTAGCTGGCGTGAAATGTCCTGCTGACTCAACAAATCCGAGAAGTCACTTTCTCTTAAATGAATGAAATAATGTGGGTTAAAAAGGGTTAATAAAAGAAATTAGTGAGCTACAGAAAAGCCATCTTTAACAGTACAAGCTGAGGGGCATTTTAATTCAGTGGGCTTAGTGAGTATTGAAATGCAAGTGACAAAAAGAATAACCGTGGGGAGAAATCATTCAGCCATGTAGGGCGAATCACAACCTGTACAGGGCGACTCATCTAACCCACGGGACAAATCATGTGGGACAATTCATCCGTGGTATGATAAGGACAATGATTCATTGAGCACTTAAAATAATTTCGCGATTTGTCAGTTTATCTTTAAAAATGAGTGAAAATCATGTTTTTAAATATTTATCATCAGGGTGGTACATCATATAAATTGGCATGAAATACTCTTAACAAATTACAATGGAAAATTAATTAATATGACTCCCTTAAAATGTAAACTCAATCTGAAGTTATATTAGGAGCATGTGCACCAATAAACTTAACCAGCAAGCACCACCATTCTTTCAAATAGTTTAGTAGGCCTACAATTTATTAATAAATCGCTTACTTTATTTACTGATTTATTTATTCTTTCTTTATACTGAATGACACTTTCAGACTCAGACTCAGATTCATTTTATTTAACCAAAACAAGTTAGAAATAGCAAAAATCACATTGTATGTATTATTAATGATAAGTTAGGAGACTCTTATTAAGACCAAAAATAGGCCGCTGTCATGAGAGCCACCCCAAAATACAATATTGATAAATTTATTACAGTATATATATATATATATATTCACACACATACATATAAACAAACACAAACTTCTACACACAAATTCACAAAGACAGTACACATATATATACATATACTGTACTCAAAAATATAAACTGATAAACACCAAGAGCTTTGAACGCATGTTTATATAATCAATAAAGAAAAAAAAAAAGAAAAAAGAGAAAAAAAAAAAAGCATTCCAATGTGGTTCAGTATTAACAAACAAGAAAAATTTAACAATGAACTTTATAAATACAAGGTAAAAAAAAAAAAATATACATTACAGTTACATAACAATCAAAAATACATTTAAATGAAAACTATATGAATGGTTAAGGAAATATTTGTTTTAGATTTTACACACATATAGAATTTCTAAATTTTAAAACTGTCATAGATTTAAAGTTTATTTTAATATCTTCTGGGAGTTTATTCCAGAGCTTAGTACACTTATATACGAACGTTCTTTTACCTTGCGTATTACTCCAAGACTGTTCTATAAGAGTATATTTACTTTGAATTCTAGTACAATATAAGTGCTGTTAACCAAGAATGGATTTGAGCCCATAATTATAAATTTTAATGTGGGTAACTCTACCACACAGTCACAGCTTAATATTACCACATAGAGTGCACCATCGCATAATCTATAAATATTTGTTTAGTGGACCACTTTACAAAGAATTTGAGCGCCACCCAACCACACCCACTAGAACATCAACTCCTCCCATCGGGTAAAATCCTGGCGCCGCTCCTGGCATTGGGGTAAACCTACTGTTCCGAAAGATGCAATATGTTCTTTAAAATGCTCTTAGCCATTTGTAATTGTAGTCTTACACTTGGGAGCTTTCGATTTGTGCGACGACGTGACGCTAGAACCGAATCACTCATGCTGACCATCCTACATGGTGTCTTACTTTATCTGCATACGTAGATTTGGTCAAATTGCATTCCAGAATCTACTCGACGAGGTGACCTTAACGTTCTCGCATACGCAGATGACTTTTAGTGACGTCATTGCGTTCTACGTCCTACTGTCGTCGCGCAATCGAAAGCTCCCTAATTTCAATTAACTGAACGTTTAGTGATTGAAACTATAACTATAAATAGAGTAGGTTATCACATAAAGGGTTATACATTTGTACTGTGCAAAATACTAGGGTCTCAATGCGCAAAACAAGTGAACAGATGTAATTGGAAAAATAAGGAAAGAAGAACTCCAAGCCAGCACCCAAGCTGCAGTATGGAGATACTGAGCAGGGATCTGTCTAAATGTACTCCATCCAGCACCAGTTGAGTCTCAGCCATCCTAGGACTCAGGCGCCCCCTATCCTGATAGAACTAGAAGAAAGCTAGCTGACAAGGAATGGAATAAATAAATCAATGAGAACGAAACAAGCGAGACACAGAGATGGATGGCGACTCACGAATTGATAGTAATGGCAAAGAATTCCATTAAGCTTAACTCAATATGGTCAGTAGCAGAATGGTCTGCTATTGAAATTATGCTACGGCATCAAGGTAAGAACTTGGATCTCAGGTTGATGCACTTTAAAGAAAAATACCTAATCTTATTATGTACCAAAATTAACTGACAAATTACACAGGAAAATGCCTAAACAGATTGTTGGCAGTGAGTGCACCTTAGCTTTTGTAAAACAGTATATTGCTGCTTGCCAAGGGCCCATCATTACTAATGTTTATTCATATTGCTATTAAATACA